TAATGGTGCCAGCTTGTCCAGCGCCGCCCTCAGTTCAGCTTCTAGGTGAAGAGCGCAAACAGTTGGGTCGGATGATGGGGATAACATTGAAGGCCAATTTGCGAGGAGGTGCTGTAGAGTGGTAAACTTGATGCCCTTGAAATTACGGGAGTGGTGGTGATTTTTATGGTGATTGGCTTGGGAATTTGAAGGGAAAATAGTATAAGGTGGTGGTCGGAGTAACCAGTTTGGAAAACTCCCAGTGCAGTGATGCGTCGATCCTGGTCAGGTTCCATAATCAGGTCGAGCATACTCTCAACATTTGTTGAGGAAGCTCTGGTGGTGCCTGAGTCGGTGATGACCAGGTTATGGCAGGCCCAAGGTTGACTCGAGGTGGCTATCAATGGATAGGGTATTGCCGGGGCAGTTACAGTCTTCAGTAAGCACGAGCCTGTGAGATGGGTTAGGAATGAGGTAAAGAAATTCGGGAAGCTCGTTTAAGAAGGTAGTGATGCTGCCATCTGCAGGGCGATAGATGGAAATGAGGGAAAAGCACTCGGTGTTAGTAGTGGGGGACACGGACTGGACCTCGAAGGTGGCGGGAGCCATTGGTAGATAGAGCTCTTTAATTTTGAAGTGTGCATTGTAGACAACCGCTAAGCCACCACCCTGCTAGTTAGTCGCGCCAGGTTTAGGAATAACCTTGTATCCCGAGGACGCGAGTTCCAAAGAAATGGCTAGCGGCGAGTTCTGGCCTGCACCAGGTCTCGGTAATAAGCAAAAGGTCTGTGGTGGTCCGAGATGGTATCGTGAATGAGGGCTGATGTGTTGGTAATGGAGCGTGAGTTGAGTAGGCCGAGGCGGATGGGTAAGGGTGGATGTGAATATCTGAAGAGGCGCGACGTCGAGAGATCAGAGGAAATAGCTGGTTGAAGGTTGACCTGTGACCAGCGGCCCCTACCGCCTCTGCAACCACGGTGCTGATGCAGTCTCTGACGTTGACCGCGAAGAAGCCCGAGGCCAGAGAGCGTCCTCAGGAGCGTGGATTCCAGGTGCAGGTGATGAAGAGATGGTGCATGTCGAAGCCCTATTATATCAGCCCACGCTGTACGGGTAGTGGTGTTTGGGGGGCCAGGATTCGGGTGGACTCCGATCAGCAGCTGTGCTGCCCGGAGCAGCAAGTCCAGGTAGTGGTGTCCAAGATAACGCGCCGTCAGCACGCGCTTCCACACACGTGGCGGGTGCGTACACGCCGACGTAAACACTTGTTGAGCACGTACGCGGGCGGACAGGACCACGCACGCGGCACGTACAATGGAGCGGCCAGAAGAACACGAGGTCCAGTGGAGTAGTTGACCACACGCTGTGCTCCAGCTCGCAGGTGATGCAGCAGGGTAGACGAACCTCGCCGAGCTCCCATCCACTAGTGGTGCTGGGCAGCAGGCAAACCCACTCTCTCGTGTTGAGCAGTGTACAGTCTGCGTCGCGTTCACACTCGCTGGTGGTGTTGAGCAGTGAACGGAACACGTCGAGCTCCCACTTGCTGGCGATGCTGAGACATGCCAAGCTCCCACTCACTGATAGAGGTGGAAGAGGTGCCTTGTGAGGGCGTTGCTGGCAGGAAACAGACCCAGGGCGGCTGATAAGCCACACCGCATGAACAGTGCAGCCGGCGTCCTCCAGCCTCGTGCGTGAAAGCAGCCGCCCTCGTTCACCCGCACAGCCCCTCAGCTGTACGAGGCGGCAGGTAAGCCGGGCTGTGTAACACTGCAGGCGGCATTTGTCAGCTGTTGCAGCACCGTGGGGCTTGTGCAGTGCGCGCGGTGGCAGGCGGGGTTGGAGGCAGGGTTCTGCCACCGCCGTAAACTCGGGCGCCGCCAAAGTAATAATGAGGAAAATAATAAAAAATAAGAAAGATGTAGTGAAAGATGAAAATAAGAAGAGCAGGGGATAGCGAAGAAGGATGGGTAAGGTACGAGGTGTGGCAATAGATAAACAATGGGAGCCCAAACGATGATCAGGAATGATCAGGAACCTTTTATCCAAATTTTAAATGCTGGGCTGGGCCCCACTGTGATACAGATGGGCACGGTCTTGGCTAACGCGTCGCCGGCAGGTTGCGACGTAGCAAAGGCTGAGCCTGTCAGAATCGCCGCGGCTGCGGAGCGGGGTGAGGGTTGCGATGAGTCGTGAATGGACGCACTCTGCTCCGAGAGCCCCGACTTGTCCGGGGTACAAAGGTCTGCATTGTGCGCGCTCCTTAGGGAGTTTTCTGATATTTTTAGTAAAACCAAATATGACATTGGCCGCACGTCATTGGTGCCTCACCATATTGACACAGGCAACTCTGCCCCCATTCGTCAGAACCCATATAGGTTAAGCCCGACAGAGAAGGAGCACGTTCGACATTCAGTCGACGAGATGTTGGCTGCAGATATTATTGCTCCATCAAACAGTCCGTGGAGGGCCCCCATTGTCCTTGTCAAAAAACAAGATGGGACTTTGAGATTTTTTTGTGGACTTTAGAAAGCTTAATAAAGTGTCCGTGGCAGATGCGTACCTGCGGATGGATAATTCCCTAGATGCCCTGTCGGGGACACGGTTCTTCTCAACCCTTGATTTACTTGCCGGGTTTTGGCAGTTGCCTTTGGATGACAGTTCTAAACCATGACGGCGTTTCGAACTCCTCAAGGGTTGTTTGAATTTAACCGCCTCCCCATGGGCCTTGATTCCAGCCCAGCCATGTTCCAGAGACTCATGAAGTTGGTTTTGGCAGGACTCCAATGGGACTCATGTCTAATTTACCTCGACAACATCATTGTGTTTGCATGCACGTTTGAGGAGCACCTACAATGGTTGTGGGCTGTTTTTATTAAAATGCGGGCAGCGAATCTGAAATTTAAGCTGCAAAAATGTCATGTTCTGCAGAGATCGGTTTGATATCTGGGGCACATTGTGAGCGAATCGGGGACAGCGACGGACCCCGACAAAACGGCGTGCGTACGTACATAGCCGACCCCCAGGTCGGTGGGTGAGGTGCTAAGTTTTGTTGGGTTTGCCTCCTATTACTGTCGGTTCGTGCCAGGCTTCGCGGTGATCGCGAAACCTCTACACATTCTCACGACTAAAGGTCAGAAATTCCGATGGGGGAAGGAGGCGGAGGCGGCGTTTGTCGCGCTGTGGGAGGGTCTGGTCGAGGCACCTCCTCTCCGATACCCTGATTTCTCCTTGCCTTTTATCCTGGACACGGACGCCAGTGACACTGGAATTGGTGCCGTGTTGTCCCAGGTCGTGAATGGGGTGGAAATAGTTGTGGCATATGGGAGTCGGGCGTTATCCCCTGTGGAACAGCGATACTGAGTGACGCGATGAGAATTGTTGGCCATCGTATATTTCACTCAGCAGTACCGTCCGTACCTCTACGTGAGGGAGTTTGAGGCTCATACGGATCACACGGCTCTCCAGTATGCTTTACGGGTCGAACAACCATCCGGGTAGCTCTCGCGCTGGCTAGAGGTCCTCCAGGACTATGGATTCAAGGTCTCCTATAGGAAAGGTGTTCGCCACGGCAACGCGGACGCACTCTCGAGACTGTTGCCGCGGAACCAGTGTGCGTTTCTCACGGGTGCGGGACGATAGAAAACCATGGGAACAGGGTTGCCTAATGCTATGGTGGCATTACCGAACGTTCCACCTCTGGACACGGTCGAAACGTGTAACAAAACAATTGGCCTCACGCATGCTGAATGGGGGTGCCTCCAAGTGGAGGACGCCTCCCTGTTAAAACTGCGGCGCCGTGTCGGGAATGCAGAGGGTGGAAAGAACAGACGAGTTTTGTCTCCGGTGATCCTTAAAGGGGGCCTACTGATGAGATGGGATGGAGAATTACATTGATATAACATTGTTGTGCACACTGTTCTGCACGGTAAAGTTATATGGGAGGAGCACGAACGTTTGATGCACCGCAAAACATTGGCGACTCTCAAACTTCACTCTTTCTGGCCCGGAATGGCAGAGGACGTCTATAATGTACTTCAAGGATGCACGGAATGCGCTCGCCGAAAAGCCCCTCGAGAATGGATCGCCCACCTCTAAAATCCATTTGTGTATCCCGGGTTAACGAACTCGTCGCGCTCGATGTCCTCGGTCTGTTTCCCACCACCCCATGGGGGAATAAATTCTTATTGGTGGGGGTAGAGTACCTCTGACATTGGCCGATGGCCTGGCCGCTGCCAAACCAGTTGGGTATGTCTTGGACAAAGGAGCCCCGGAACATCTCCTTACTGACCAGGGCAAAAAAAATTCGTCGAAGCTGTTAAAGGAGGTATGCGATCAATTGGGCACTAAAAAGGTTCGTACTTCGCCTTATCACCCTCAGACAGATGGAATTGTGGAAGAGTTACACAGAACCCTGACTTCTATGTTGTCCAAACGGGTCAATGAAGCCCAGTTTGACTGGGACTTACATGTTCCGAGCATGCTCGCTGCCTATAGATCGGCCCCTCACGCTTCTACCGGGTTCTCTCCGTTCCTTATGTATGGGAGGGAGCAGGACCCCCCAATTGATGTTCAGCTGAATCCAGAGCCAAATTATAAAAAGATGCCTAGCCCCATGCGCCTTACCCTACAGAGGTTGTCAGAAGCTAGGGAAACTTAGCGGGGGAATTCGGCCTTGCGGCAGGCTACCAACGGACGGCTTGTGGGGCCCCGCCAATCTACAACTAAATGGACAGCGGGGGATAGAGCTTGGCTTCACTGCCCCCATGTCCTGATGGGTACATCCCCGAAATTGCATAAACCATGGCAGGGCCCGGTTGAAGTGGTGGAGGTAAAGAGTCCACAGAGCATGTGGATTCAGTGCGGTCGCAGGCGTACCCATCGCGATTGAAATGTTTTTTTTCCATCTACCGTGATTCCTCCATCTGCACTTCCCAATGGCCGGGTGTCTGGTCAGTCTGATGCGCTGGTGCGTGCGTCGGCTGAGGTCGTGCCTCAGGAGGGTTTTATTATTCCGCCCACAGGATCCAAGCGCCTGACACCCTCAACGTCACCGGTCGCGTCGACCCGGGGTGGACTAGCGAGTATGGAGCTGCCATCGCCAACCCCTCCTCCACGCCCATTAGGCCATCTTCAAGCTGTCCCTGGGGCCTCCAGGGAGCCCACACCGAATTCGCGTGAAGGCCCAGCAACAAGGACCCGTTCAAAGACTGTCCGCTTTAAATGACCCTCCTCCAGCGTTATTTATTTTTACTGTGCGAATGAATGTCTCTGTTCCACTATTATGCTTTTCATACCACAAACCCTGCATGATGCTCAACTAATTACAATCCCTTAATTATATACAGTATATTTGAAACACAGTTGCTTAAGCACAGGCCCATAGGCCCAACGAGTGAAGTAGCCAGCAACAAACGGCACTATAAAAGAGTGTGTAACACGTCTCTTGAAATGAGAAATATTGTAAGAGTGTGGGAAAAGAGACGATGATGGGATAGAATTTCAAAGTGGAGCAGTGCTAGGGACGAAGCGTACATATGCTGGGGTTGATGCTCCCCTCCTCCTCTCCCCCTTCCTCTCTTCCCCGCCGGGCTGCCGCCGATCGAGTGATCGGCCCCCCTGCACCAGCGTCCTCTCTGTGGGACATGGCTAGTGGCTGGCTCCCCACCGCCTCGGGTTATCCCACACACTCCCCACGTAAACCACCACTAATCTTGCGCGTACCCGTACAGGTGTACGCTGCTCACCACGCCTCGCGCTAACAAAAATAGCCGTATGAATAAACCACCACTCACGCTGCGGTGGCTGTGTGCACGCGCGTGCCTGCTCGTATGGCTCTCTACTGCTCACGCTAAAAATAGCGTGGCAGCCGCGCGGATGCGGGCACAGTCAAGGAGTCACTACGCAGCGCAGCCTCACTCGCACGCAACGGGCACAATGACGATCGTGTAGATGATATTTGCGCGTTAATCCGCCGTGCAGAAACGTGCGGCGAGCGCAAGCAATCGTTTATAATTGAATACACGCCGATCGTCACACGTACGGGCGAGCGCAAACACGCGGGCACAGGTGATCGTATTGATGAGGATAGTCGATGCACTAATCCCCCCATGCAAACACAGTCGATGGCCATATACGCGCGCTAATCTCCAGTGCAAACACAATCACAAGCTCAAGCACGCGGCCACGGATGCGCACACGCTGAATTACACACCCCGTGACCCCCTTAAGGGCTCGTCGCTACGTAATCCCACTGCGTAAAATGCGCTAGGTAAAAGCGCACGCGATCGCACGCACGCGAATGTCAACGATCGTTTTCGGGCTGATTACCCGCGCCTTTCACACATGCACGTACTCACACCACCCCTACGCTCTCTGCACACACACAGAAATCACGCGGCGTCATCGCTCTGCGCTAAAGTTTATTAATGTAATACCTGAAGAAAAGCCCTGCGTGGCCCGGAGCAACACCGTCTAGCGAGCAGCGTCTCACCTATCTCTATCCACACCCTTGCGGGGCCCTCGCTCTATTCCCCACCCCTCGGACGTACTCGCGGTATCCCGCGGACGCGATGGGAGTCGGAAAGACGTGGGTCCGGGAAGTCTCTGCCTGCGTCGAGTTGAAGCTGCGCTCGCCAGCGCCTTTCGGACACTCAGCGGCTGGGAGTCCGACTGGGTCGCTGGCTGCTTGGAGGAGGACTCCCAAAACGTTTTTCCTCTTCCCTCCTTTTATTTCTTCCCCAGTCAAAAATCCCAGGCCAAGTTGTGTTGCCCTCCCAGCCAATCCGGCACCTACCTTTCGATTTTCAACCGATGCCCCTCCCCTACTCCTCGTGCTCATGCTCTCCACTGTGCCCTAGTCCATTGTCTGCGCGTTCACCTTCCCCACCCCCGCCACATCCGGCCTGGCCGGGGTGGCCGTCCAGTGGAGGTTAAGTTTTAGTCGGATCGCTGGGCGTTTTGTTCCTCCCCACGGCCCTATTCCCCTGTGTTCGGTGTGTCCTCACTGCAGTTTGCTCGGTAAGCTCGCCGTGGCCATACAATTTTAAATTAATCCACAGGGCCGCAGTGCAATTCAGCCTGGGGGGGGGGGGATCGGCCAACCTCCTGGCACTGGGAAACCGTGGGACATCCCCACAAGGGGGCCCTCGGGTAAAAACCCAGAGTGCCAGGTGACCCCCCCCCTACGTGGGTGCATGTGTGTGTTTAGAGGGGGTTGCGAGGGGACAGCAGCGCTGGCAGCGTGGCTCCGTTGCTGTGGCACCACACATATAAGAGTTGTCACTTGAATATTTCCTGGCCACACGGTAGCAGGAGAGAGGAGTCTGCTGCGATTTGCCAGGCGTGAGAATTGTGTGTGGTTACGCAAACCCCGATGGTCAGGATGCCGTTTCATCCCCAAGTCCTGTAGAGGATAACCTAGGTGGATCAGAGAGAATGAAAGATCAGAGAAAGTGAAGATTCTGATAAGGAGCCGGAGTGAGGTTGAAAACAGAGCGACAGGGAGTGATGCTGGGAACGCCACAGGTGCGAGTGTGGAACGCAGTTTATTTTCCAGAAGCAATCGGCTTCCTTCTCTGTGGGTATAATGCTTTACTGCCCGTGGACTTGCCAGAACAACAGTAAAGTGTGCATTCTCGTGCTGTTTCTTTTGAATACCAAATCAGAGTCAACGGGACGGCGAGGGAGGGGCATCTGCTCCAGCTTCATGACATCGCGATACAATGCTGCCCAGGACGGCAGCCGTTCAATGGGGGGGGGGGGGGGGGGGGGGGCTCTAATCTGACCCACACACACACAGTGGCCTATCGCGTGTGGTGCAGTGGTGGCACGATTCACCTCCTCTGTGGATTCACCTCCTCTGTGGAGGTGAATCGTGAATGATGATGACAAACCTGTCAACCCCTTATCAGTGCCCCACCTTAATACAGACTGATTCAGACCTTATTGGTCACCCGGTTCCCTTATAAATCTCAACTTTCATCCTACAAAGTCCCATCACAAGGGAGAAATACAAACATAAACAACCATATGTTTTCTCCCATATTGAAACGGATACACGTATAGACCTGAAAACTAAATTTCCTTGTGCAAGAATACCGGTAAACCGTATGGTTGACAAGTATGTGATGATGATGATGCCGGGCAGTGGAAGGATGTTGAACTTCTTTCGCACCGTACATAGCCAACCATGCTAATCGAAGGTGCGCATTGGCAACTGTTGGCAGCTTGTTTGGAATGCGATGGCAGCTGTTGTAATGCGATGGATTTGAATATTCATGGGGGCATAACCGTGATTAGCACACAATGTCTCCCTATCCAATCCTCGGCCACGTTTGGGGCGTCACGACTCCAATCTGTGTGCCCTCGTGGCGGAATTGGCCGATTTTCAATTGAAACGGTTGCCCATCGATCACAAAGGGGGCACGGATGGCCACCCGAAATGCCTCACGAATCGCACGATTGAAATAGAAGGGAACAAAAAGTTGACGGTTGGCAAAATGGTTGGTGAGGGGTACTTGTTAGGGTACAAAATGTACCCGACATCCAGACTTGAATTTCAGGCCAGGAGTCTTGTCGAGGTGGTCCCCGTTTTTACGACACTGCAATGTGTTCCTAGAAAGCCCGTCGTAAATCGGACCCTATTTTACCATAGTAGAAACATCACTTGCCGATCTGTTTTTGCTTTCATTTTATCAGCCATATTTAACAGGGTTTAATAGGTAAACATTCAACATATAATAGTCACTTGATAATAACAAAAGCTCCACGCCAAGTAACATCGGAAACCAGACCGACTCTGTTCAGATGAGGTTCGCAGTGATGTCGGAAAATGCGTCATAAATCGGTCCATGGTGGCATTCTATCAACGGCGTGAATGCGGATCGACGCAATTTGAACCATAGTAAACCGGAGACCGCCTGTGTATTGAGGCCAGTTATGACAAATGATCTCGTGAAATAACGTCACAACATAATTGGGGGTGGATGTGAGTGCATGACGTATAACGTCATCACATTGGCGAACAAGGCTCATCTGTATTGATCAACAAGTTTTGGGCAACCCTCTGATGACATTGTCCAGTTTTATATCTCGAGTGAGTCCCTAATTGCAGCACAGCCCGATACTAAATTGTGTGTGTGTGTTGGATCATCGATACAAGAGTTACCATGACCTCCTGCTACAGACAGACGTACACCCACACAGATAATAATGCATTATCGCTGCCAACCTTGGTTACCCGTGATCAGTTGGACATCGCCAAGCCTTCGAAGTCGTTAGACACCTCAGGCCAGACATCTACGTACCCGAGAAGGATCGTCACTCGACCTACCCATATCACTCGTGACTAATTAGTGTGTTATGAGTGGGTCGACTGACTGGCTTCGTTAATTAGTCACTTGACTAATTAACGTTAACTACTTCGCCGTGTATACAGGAGGTCGTGAGTTCGATCCCAACCCTGACGCCTGCTGTACATTTGGAGTTTGCGCGTCTCTCTCCCCGTGGTCACGTGGAATTGTTTTCCGGGTCCTCCGGCATTTCACGCGTTTAGAGTATTTGGCTGGTATAATTTTCCATGCGATAAGTCACTTAGTTGAGCTATCATTTGTGGCGAGGTTGCTTCTGAAAAAGAGATATAAAGCTCAGTGGGCCTTACCTGGTAAAATAAAAATTAGTTTAGGCAAACGAGGCAGTCTCTCTTGAGTACTCATGCCGACACAAGTGCTATCCTCACTTCGGGTGCTTATTTTCACTCTCAGTCCGTTTTACTCGGTTTTTATTACCTCCATTCCGGGTTCAGTGTTAAAGGCTGTACAGAAGGCCATAACGAAGGCTGTCTCTAGTGTAGACCAATTAGTTTAAAATAAAATGCATACATTACACTATGTAACACAATTTTTGTTCCTGGGTAGTAAGTGTTATTTCGTAATTGCTTATACCTAAAAAGTACAGAAAATGGCTATTATTCCCCACAAACTTTGCTTTCGTGACCAGGACCAGGACAGTGATATTTTGTAATTTACCTATTTTCAATGAGAAAACGGGCGAATTTGTGTTTTTCGTTCACATAAAGTCATAAAAAAACAACATATGAATCAAAATTAACATGTATTTATACTAAAGTAATAAAAAATTACTACAAAAGATTTCGGAGTAGTTTTTCGAGATTTACGATTACACTGTAAATCACTTTCACGAATCAGCCCCCAATGTAGTCTCCCATCATGTTTTCGTTATACTGTCCTTGGTAGCGGCGTTCAAAGTCCAGTATATCCTGGTGGAAGCGCTCGCCTTGCTCCTCCGAGTAAGCTCCCATGTTCTCCTTGAATTTATCAAGATGAGCATCAAGGATATGGACTTTGAGGGACATCCTACAGCCCATTGTGCCATAGTTCTTCACCAGAGTCTCAACCAGCTCCATGTAGTTTTCGACCTTGTGATTGCCCAGGAAGCCACGAACCACTGCGAACAAAGCTGTCCCAAGCCGCTTTCTCCTTAATAGTGAGCTTCTTGGGGAATTCATTGCACTCCAGGATCTTCTTTATCTGTGGTCCGACGAAGACACCGGCTTTGACCTTTGCCTCAGACAGCTTAGGAAAGAAGTCTTGAAGGTACTTGAAGGCTGCTGACTCCTTATCTACTTCTCTGACAAATTGTTTCATATGGCCCAATTTGCTGTGCAGTGGTGGCATCAGCACCTTCCGGGGGTCCACCAGTGGCTCCCCACAGAGAACTCAGTCCGCTGTGGCCAGTCCCACCTGTGGTAGTGTGCCTTGGTGTCCCTGCTGTCCCAAAGACAAAGATAGAGAAACTTGGTAAAACCGCCTTGGAGTCCCATCAGGAATGCCACCACTTTGAAGTCTCCGATGACCTCCCAGCCGTACTCATCATACTTCAAGGCGTCCAGCAAGGTCTTGATGCTGATGTAATCCTCTTTGAGGTGCACCGAGTGAGCCAGGGGAAGAGACAGGTACTCGTTACCATTATGGAGCAGCATGACTTTGAGGCTCCTGGATGAGCTGTCAATGAAGAGGCGCCACTCATTCTGGTTACATGCAATTCCGATTGTCTCGAACAGACTGGTCACATTGTGGTAGAAGCAGAGCCCCATCTTGACGGGTGAAGAAGCTGCGAAATGGTTGGTGACGCTTCCTCTGATCGGCGACTTTCACACTTTCATCCAACAAGTTCCACTGCTTGAGCCTAGACATCAAAAGTTCGGCATTGGACTTGGTGAGACCAAGATCTCTAATCAAGTCGTTGAGGTCTTTTTGGTTGGGGTAGTATGGGTTTCTCTCCTCAGCTCCACCTCTGAAAATGTCATCTTGATCTACAACGTCTTCCTCGCTCTCTGACTTGCTGCTCTCTTCTAAACACTTCTGCTCTCTCTCCGGAGGAGTGGGTACAGGGAGCTCATGGCAGTGTGGCACCGGGGCGATGGTTCAAGGTCCGGATACGTGATAGCAGGTGCGTTCTTGCCAGGCCGACGTTTGGAAGGGTCCACCATGCAGAAATAGCAGTTACTTGAGTGGTCAGTGGGTTCCCGCCACATTCATCGGATAGCGAACTTCATGGCTCTCTTTTCCCCTCTGTACCATCCAACAAAAATAAATTTCTTTCACCTATGACTAATGCGTAAGATATTCTCCCAACATTTTTCATGTATGACATTTTTTTCAATAACATTGAAAATTGCACAATATTTTTTTTAAATTAAAAACTTTTACAATTTTAATAACATTAAATTCTGAGCAACAATTGCCATCTTACCTTCCAGTCTTTTTTTGCATTGCTCGCAGGTGAAATAAGGTGCCCAGGGTTTGTCTTGATCCCCGCGCAGTGATTACATTATCAGTCACACAGTGACTACATTATCAGTCACACAGTGACTACATTATCAGTCACACAGTGACTACATTATCAGTCACGCAGTGACTACATTATCAGTCACACAGTGACTACATTATCAGTCACACAGTGACTACATCAGTCCTGCAGTGACTACATTATCAGTCACACAGTGACTACATTATCAGTCACACAGTGACTACATTATCAGTCACGCAGTGACTACATTATCAGTCACAGTGGCTACATTATTAGTACCGCAGTGACTACATTATCAGCCGTGCATTGACTACATTATCAGTCACACAGTGACTACATTATCAGTCACACAGTGATTACATTATCAGTCGCACAGTGACTACATTATCAGTCACACAGTGACTACATTATCAGTCACGCAGTGACTACATTATCAGTCCCACAGTGACTACATTATCAGTCACACAGTGACTACATTATCAGTCACACAGTGACTACATTATCAGTCAACAAGTGATTACATTATCAGTCACACAGTGACTACATTATCAGTCACGCAGTGACTACATTATCAGTCCGACAGTGATTACATTATCAGTCACGTAGTGACTACATTATCAGTCACACAGTGACTACATTATCAGTCACACAGTGACTACATTATCAGTCCGACAGTGATTACATTATCAGTCACGTAGTGACTACATTATCAGTCACACAGTGACTACATTATCAGTCACACAGTGACTACATTATCAGTCACACAGTGACTACATTATCAGTCCGACAGTGATTACATTATCAGTCACGTAGTGACTACATTATCAGTCACACAGTGGCTACATTATCAGTCACACAGTGACTACGTTGTCAGTCACACAGTGACTACATTATCAGTCACACAGTGACTACATTATCAGTCACACAGAGGCT